CCAAATAGCTCTAAATATTTTCTAAAGCCATCATGAATGAGTCTGTGGTATACAACAGTATAGATAACATAGCTCATACTTTATCTTGGTGAAAACAAGGTCTGTATTATATATGTCCAGTACTTTGATACCTTTTCTTCTCTGTGAACTCAAGGATCAGTGAGCATATGGGTCACTCATATCCACTTTCTCTCCTCTTACGTATAACAGAAAAAACACTTTCTTTAATCTCGGTGACGTTTGAAAGCCCTGGCTTATGTATTTGACTACTTGAAGGTTTTCCTACAGATTTATCTCAGGTTAACATATATGCTTTCATCATGAAAAAGTCAAAATAAAAATGAGTTAAATGATGAGAGACAACAAGTGAATACGTGAAGAAGGAAAATTTGGAGAATTAAGTGTATGTTTATTATATGTATGTTATATATATATATATATATATATATATATGAAAGTCCCTACTTAAATAGACCTCCTTTATTTAACCATATATATATATTTGATAATCTAATATCATTAATGATAAAGACTATTTCTAATATCTAACAGATGTTCTTTTGCTTTCTTATTTTTTGGATAAAAGAATGGATAACTGGTAGTAAAACAAGATTGCTAGGAAAGCTCATTTTCCAATGGATCAGATACAATAAGATATCTAGAAGAAAAAGTGGGTCATTTGATGTTTCAAGTGGAATTTAACATGCTTCCTTTCTCTCTGTTATTCTTTGTCAATATTATGTGTTGGTACTGAATTAGAGCACTTTACACTCCACATTGCCCACTCTCAGCCTTCTGTCTTGGAACAAACTCTACTTCTTGACCATCCTTCTCCTCATTGATGTCTGGTTTTGTTATAGTTTTAGGCTCGCTGAGTTTACTGATAGTTTCTTGAATGAGCTCGAGTGTAGTCTATTTAATGCAGCATAGGCAAATTTTCAGTGGGAGCAATGCCAGCACTCATCACCTGCCCAGAATTGCTGAGTGCTCAGGTCTCACCAGCCCTCCTCTCCAAGCATGAAGAAATGGTCATGTTTCCATTCTTGTGCAGTTTATGAATTCTGTGGCTGTGTCATGTCCAAATTACCCACTTTCATGGCAGTCTTCCCATCCTCTAGTTTTATAGTCCTGCTAATCCTCTCCCATGATGCTCTCTGAGGCTTGGATAGTGCAATCCAGATGTCCAGCTTCTAGTGTAGTACTCAACCATCATTTATTCTGAACACATGGACAGTTGTGGACATCTGCAGTCACACCCTACTGAAAATAGAAGCTTCACTGGCCAAGGCTGAGACCTGCACCGATCTCTGAGCTTAGACAGGAATATTAAGATGACAGATTGACAAACAAGAATGATGAGAAAATAATGAATAGGAAATACATTTAAAGATTTAAATAGAAAGATAGGGTATTATTTCTATTCATCAATAAACAACAGTAAGTAGTCTCTGAGGACCTGTGACCTCCCCAGGCATCGGTGGCCCGAATTTCACCTGATTTCTAGCATATGATCAACTACATATGCAGTCATGTGAAGAAAGAGGGAGTATCAACACAGGGCTGTTATAGGGTGAGGTCCAGCTGTTCCTCCTGACCGTAGGCTTGCTTAACCCTGAAACAACCACACAGAAACTGTATTAATTAAATAACTGCTTGACCCATTATCTCTAACTTCTTATTGTATAACTCTTACATATTAGTTTAACCCATTTCTAGTAATCTGTGTATCACCACGTGACTGTGGCTTATTGGATAAAGTTTCATTAGGCTCAGGCGGGGCTGCATGGCTTCTCTCTGACTCCGCCTCCTTTCTCCCAGCATTCAGTTCATCCCCCCCACCTCTGTTCCCCTATAGCTCTGCTATAGGCCCAAAGTAGTTTCTTTATTAACCAATGAGAGCAACAAATAGACAGAAGGACCCCCTACACCATAGGGCAGGATCAGGATGATAGTTTCTAGAATAAACATTTGTTCTTACAGGTGACCATCACGGCTTTAATTGAAAAGTTGTGCTATACACATTTTTTTTGTAGCATGTTTTTAATAGAATTGGATTTAAGTGACAATAGAAACATCTTTATTTAAAATCTTGCCATATTTTGCTACTATGCTTTGATGTTTTGAGTCATGAAGTGTGTGCTTGTCAGTCTTAGGAGACAGAATGTCCATGTGATGAAAATGCCTTATTTATTTTTATGTCTAGCAAAAAAAGTGATTTTTGTCATGAAAATCATGAAAATGAATTGTCCAGAATTAGTAAGTGAAAGTCTTTTCATTGCAGAAATAAACATGGATTTGTCCCTGGAGGGAAAAGTACAAAGCTCCTGCCTTGAACAGCGCACGCGCACACACACACACACACACACACACACACACACACACAGTAACAAATTTTGTAAAACACTATTTTTTCACTGTGACATACATTATTAATGATCTACTAATATGGGTGTTTTTGTTTGTTTTGTTTTGTTTTTTGGTTTACCAGGATGCCCATTTTGTTACAGCCATGCCTCCTCCCTACTTTGCCCCTGAATGCATTCCCCCTTAGTTCCTTTAAGTAAGTGGGCCACCAATGAGATCTTAGTAGAAGTCTTTAAAGAACCTATGGGGAAATTCATTTAGAAACACAGCCTGTGCCCTTGCATCATTTCTCTGTCTCCATCTTTCTAAGACAAATGTGGACACCATTTTCCAGGATGGAGACTGTGGATATACAGTGAGAGTGGAATGAGGGGTTTCCCCAATGCTGTGTCCTGGATGACCTGCAGCCTTTTCTAACTGCCCTGCACGGTCTGCAGAGGAGAGAAGACAGCACAGTGTTGTTGACACCTCACAGATGCGACCATGACACAGGCTGCATTGGTCTCCAGGACACTCCTTTCCAATCCACACTCTGTTGTTTTCCCACATGTATCTTTTCCAGTTGTACTAAAAGGCATGTATTTATTTTGGTCCTGCTCCAAGGTTCTTTCTTATAGTACCATCTTCCTATCTATGGTACATTAAGTGTTCTGTAAGGTAATTTTGTGTTCTTCCATTGAACATTCCTCAGGCTTTATGACAAGATATCTTGTCTATCGTTTATGGGTATGGCTTCTTCCTTTCACTGCCTGCAAAGAGGTCAAGAACATGAGGGGTCATCCACTGAAGCAGTTTACCTGAGCTAATGGGAGCTCAAAACTTTAGCAGGAGTGGGAAAGAACAAGCATAGGACCAAACTAGTCCCTCTGAATGTGGTTGACAGTTGCATGACTGGGGCAGACTGTGGGACCACTGGCAGTGGCATTGGGATTTGTCTCTGCTGCATGTACTGGTTTTTTGGGATCCTATTCTCAATGGATGGATTCCGTGCTCAGCCTAGATGTAGTAGGACCTGTACTACATCTGTAGAGGGCCCTGGACCTTCCACAGGGCAAGGTGCCTTGCCCTCTCTTAGGATTGGAGGGGTAGGGTAGGAGTGTGTGTGGAGGGAATGGGAGGAGGGGAGGGGGCGAGAATTTGGATTGGTCTTTTTAAAAAATCTAATAAAAAAGAAAACAATAAGAAACAAAAGAATTATCCCCAGGATATTACTAACTGTTTCTATGAGATTGCCTAATAAATGGTGCTTTTAAAGTTTTTCTTGATGATATTTGTCTTACAGATTTAAAAAAATCAAAATCATAACACTGTATCACACATAAGAAAGCTCCTTGAGAACTCTGAAAGATTTGATAACATCTGTTGTAGTTAGTTTTTATAATCATTGACATGATCTAGAATCATCTGGAAGGGAAATTTCCCTGAAGATTTTCTAGATCAATTTGGCCTATGGGTGTCTCTGGGGTATTGGTATCTTGGTTGAAGTAGGAAGACACATCCACCATAGGTGGTGCCATTTCTTAAGAAGAGGATTCTGCAAATTTCAAGATGTCACATTTTTCTCTGCTCCATAGTACTCCATTGTGTAAATGTACCACATTTTCCTTATTCATTCTTTGGTCAAGGGGCATTTAGGCTGTTTCCAGGTTCTGGCTTTGAAAGACAATTATCATATGTAATCACTCATAAGTGGTTTTAAAACATAAAGCAAAGAAAACCAGCCTAAAATTACAATTCCAGAGAATCTAGATAACAATGAGGGCATACATGGATCTAATCTACATGGGAAGTAGTAAAAGGCAAGATCTCCTGAGTAAATTTGGAGCATCGCCACCATGGGAGAGGGTTCAAGAGGAGAGGAGAGGCAGGGAGGGGAGCAGAGAAAAATTTATTGCTCAATAAAATTAATTCCCGTTCTGAATACTACAGGCCATTGAAAATTTATGTAAGATATTTGTAACAAATTGTAGCACAAATGGTATTTGTTTATGTAACAGATATAAACACAGAGAAGGTTCAGAAAAATACCAGTCAATATGAACACTTCCATTACATTGTAATCCATCCTTTCTTGACTGAGACATTGTTTCCCAGGGCACAGCTGTGCACTTCGCCCTGGAGTGGTGGTTCTTCTTCTTCCCTGAACTGTAAGTTCTATAGGGACAAAGAATCACATCTCATCTAGTGTTATATGCCAAGCTACAATTACCATGTGAGTTCTAGTGGGGGAAATGCACACCTCCTCATATTCCGTAGGTAACCTTTTCTATTGATTTTGTTCTCTGTTGTCAGAGGCATTTTAATTTGATGTGGTATTGATCTCACTTGGCTTTGCTTGCCTGTACTTCTGATAATTACTCAATAAATAAAAATATTGCTCAAAAAACAAAAAAAGGAAGAGGATTCTGAACTATAATACAAATGGAAAAAGTTAACTCAACATAACATTTATGCACTAATTCCATGCTTTTTGCCCTCAACTGTGGCTATGGCATGACTAGCTACTCCAAGTTTCTGCTGCCTTGACTTCTCTCAGATGGTGAACTAGAACCTGGAGTTGGGAGGCAAACCCTTTGTCAAGGTATTCTATACAGCACCAAGAAACAACTCATCAATCCTTTTGTTTGTTTCCACAGACAACATATACTCCTGGCAACTTTCAATACTCTCTTGAGTACATAAGATACATTTCCTGCCTTTCAAATGAATTGAAAACAAAAGATATTGACAGAAAACCAAAATCACCGGGACCTCCCACTCATAAAGGTTGGTATGTTTTGATGCGAACTAAATAATTCAACAAGAAATGGGAACACTGATCTTGAGCAAGTAACTATCAAACCTTAATGCTGTGTTTTTTTAAATTATTATTCTTGGCACATTTTCCAAAATATGAATTAATTCATTGACTAAAGCGAGTCAACTTTATTATTACTCTCTTTTCTCTTTTATTGAATGTATGTTATGCTTAGAGTAGTCTTAAATGATCTCCAAGAGTGAATCTTGTATTCTCCCAGGAAAGGGAGCATCACAGGGCAGCAGTGAAGCATTTGTTTTTGTAGAAGTTTCCTCTCCGTTGCTTTGAAACACAACTTTGATGATTTTATTGCATCCCCTGGCTTTTCCAACGAGTAATTATGAGTGAACACTGGAGAGCAGGTGTATGTCAGATTCCTTTCCTTTCCCCCTTTTTTCTATTATTGAAATAGATTTTTGTTTCTCACGATAATCTCTTGATTATGACTCCTCTCTCTCTTCTTCCCATCCCTCCTCTTCTCCCCTCTTATCCAGATCCATCTCTCATGAGCATGTTTTCCGTTGGCCATCTTCCGCTGGGCATGCAGTCCACCCTAAGAGTCTATTGTTTCTCCAGTGAGATTTACTTGGGGGAAACTAAATTTTCATTTATAAAGGTTTCAACTGGAGATATTTTCTGTGTTTTGATGGAGCATAAAGTTTTGTCACTCTTGCTGATTTTCTCAAAGAACCAACTCATTGTTTCATCGATACTTTGTATTGTTTTATTTATTTGTTTCTATTTTATGGATTTCAACTACGACGTGATTATTTCACATTGTCTGCTCTTCTGTGTGTGATTTGTTCTTTTTGTTCTTGATCTTTCAGGTGCTCTATGAAGTTCCTAGTAAGAGATCTCTCCCTTTTTATGTAGTCATTAGTGCTATGAACGTGCCTTTTAGATGTGACTTCATTGGGTCCTGTAGATTTTGCTATGTTCCACCTCATTTTTATTCATTCTAGAACACTGGTGATTTCTATCTTAGTTTTCATCCTGACACTTTTTCATTCAGTAGCATGTGTTCATGAGCTTGTAAACTTTCTGTTGCTGTTCAGCTTTAATCCATAGTAGTTAGTTAGGATGCAGTTTCCTTGTATTTGTTGAGACTTGTTTTGTGTCTGAGTATGTCATAAAGTTCAGGGAAAATTACATGAGGTGCTGATCATAAGATATATTCTTTTATATTTGGGTGAAATGTTCTGTAAATGTTTGTTAGGTCCATTTGGTTTATAATATTCAGAAAGGCAAAAGTGAGGTGTTTGCCAAAATTTCATCACAATGTTGAAAATAATCCATGCATACATCACATTGACGTAAGTTAATTTGGAGAACATATCTGTGCGGCATAATTCTGAGTGCCAGCCTTACTGGATCTGGAATATACCCAAAGACTCATGACTGGGCTATCTTGATCAGATTTTTTTGAAATGGGAAGAAGGCTTTTTGAAAGAAATTTTTTTTTCTGCATATCATCACTCTGGTTGGCAAGATCTTCTCTCTTGTTGCTGCTCAATGAACCTTTTTTCTCCAATTACCAATGTGGTTTCAAGACCAGCAGTTCCCCAGCAATCCTCCAGGTCTGAAGTGCCAGATTGGTGATATTGTGGACTCATGGACTGAGAAACTACCAACTACTCCAGTCTCTGTCCTTTCAATGTGAGACAGTTGTTGTTGGACTACTGCTGTGGACTGGAAGAAAATGGACGTCAAAGGGAGTGGCACTCTTAGGTGTGGTTCTCCTGGAGTAGGTGTGGCCCTGTTGAAGTGTGTCACTATGAAGGCAGACTTTGAGGTCTCTGTTGCTAAAATTATACCCTCTGAGACAAATCACATCATGTTGCCTGAACAACATGGAGAACTCTTAGCTTCCTCTCCAGCACCATGTCTGCATACATGTTTCCATGGCCCATCATGAAGATAATGGATTGAACCTCTGAATGTAATTCACCCAGTTAAATGTTTTCCTTCATAAGAGTTGCTATGGTCATAGTGTTTTTTTTCACAGCAATAGAAACCCTAACTAAGAGAGAAGTTGATACCAGGACTTGGGTATTGCTGTGCAGCCTTGACCATGTTTTTATTTGAAGAAATATAGACCTTGGGACTGTGGGCAGTCTTAGTAGGAACATGGAAGACAGGGGGCTGAGGGTGATAAGAACTGTGGATGCCTGTATTTAGAGATTTCAGAGGAGAAGCATGTTAATAGTGTCATATTTTGATGAAGAAGGTAGCTGCCTTTTGCCCTTATGCAAAGAGTGTGCCTGAAGCTAAAGCAAAGGGTTTTAGGTTAATTTTGTTGGCATAGGAAATCTCAAAACAGCCTGGTATATTCTCTATTGTGTGGTTATTAGTGGTTCCTGTAATGAAGATTTATACTGAAAAGCAGCAAGAGCAGGAAGGAAAAACACAAAATGTACAATTTGAGGAGACAAAGAGTACCAGGAGGTGTAATGGAGCTAAGTCCTGTGTTCAAAGAGACAATCAAATTAAGAAATAGAATATAGGAAGTGATGACTTCAGGGCAAAATCCCACCCAGCTAAGTTTCCTACTTGTAAAAAGGAACTAAAGAAAAGCTTAGAGCTGGATGTGGTCGTTCACAGTTTTATTCCCGGCATACCAGAGGCAGAGGCTGCTGGATCTTTGAGTTTAAGGCTAAGCTTGTCTACACAGCAAGTTCCAGAAGAGCCAACCTTAGGCAGTGAAGGTAACCACTGAAAATGGGAAACTGGTGAAGATGTAATTGAAAGTGGGGCCGTGTTTCTGCCCCAGACAAACAAAATGTGTATAGCATTTGGAAAGGAGTTTATTTTTTATATTAATGTATTAAAATAAAACACAAATTATTAGGGAATATGTATATGATATATATGTGGATATGTGCACACACAGACAAAAAAGGCATGTATATATAATGCAAAAATGTGCACATATATTTTCCATATGAAAGAATTTCCAACATTTTAAATAAAGTGCCTTTTTATATTAATTAAATTTATTCATTTATTTTACATTCTGACTGCAGTTTCCCCTCCCTCTATCCTCCCATTCCTTCACTGTATATCCCTTTCACCCACCCAACCTTGACCCCCTGGCTTGTAAATTCTTTCCTCTCTCTCTTCAGTAGGATTCCCCAAACATGGCCCAATGATTGATTCTGGGTCTCTAGATCTGTTTCCATCAGTTACTGGATGAAGTCTCTCTGATGACAACTGGGGTAGTTACCAATATCCCGAACATGCAGTAGGAAGGACAGACTGCAAGTCAAAGGCTGCATTGCTGGAGGCAGAGTCCAATTTCTCCACTAGATGTTCCACCCGGGCACAGGACATGGCCAGTTCAGGCTGTGCATCCACTATTGCTAGGAGTCATCCTTGTAGACTCCTGGAAGTTCCCTTTGCCTGATCCCTCATGTTCCCATCTCCACTGGATACCCAGTCCACACATTCAATCTCTTCTATTTCCGCTTCCCAAGGAGATCCATGAACCTGCTCCCACCCCCCGAACCCTCCTTGTTACTAAACCTCTCTAGGTCTGGATTGTAGCATGATTATACTTTACAGCTAATATAATTTCAATTATAAATGAGTACATGCCATGTTTGTCTTTCTGGGTAGTCAAAGTATCACTATTTGCAGACGATATAATAGTATACATAAGTGAGCCCAGAAATTGTACCAGGGAACTCCTGCAGCTGATAAACACCTTTAACAATGTGGCTGGATACAAGATTAGCTAAAAAAAGTATCAGTACCCCTCTTATATAAAGGATAATCCAGTTGAGAAATCAGGAAACCACAATAGCCACAAGTAATACAAAATATCTTGGAGTAACTATAAATCAAGCAAGTAAAAGACCTATATGTCAGGAACTTCTTGAAGAAAGAAATTGGAGAAGATATCAGAAGTTGGAAAGATCTTCCATGCTCATGGATCAGTAGGATTAATATAGTAAAAATGGCAATCTTACCACAAAACAGTCTACAGATTCAATGTAATCTCCATCAAAATTCCAAAACAATTCTTTACAGATCTTGAAAGAACAATGCTCAACTTGGTATGGAAAAACAAAATACCGAGGATGTCTAAAACAGTCCTGAACAATAAGAACTTCCGGAGGAGTTGTCTCCATCTGTGATTCCAAGTCTTACTGCAGAGCTATAGTAATAAAAATAGCATGGTGCTGAAATAAAAACAGACAGATTGATCAATGGAATAGAGTCAAAGACCCTGATGAAAATCTACACATTTATAAATACATGACTTTTAACAAAGAAGCTGAAATTATACAATGGAATAATGAAAGCACCAACTAATGGTGCTCGCATAACTAGATGTCAGCATGCAGAATGCAAGTAAATGTATATCTATCATTCTCCACAAAAGTCAAGCCCAAGTGGATCAAAGAACTCAACATAAATCCAGTTACACTGAACCTCATAGAGGAAAACGTGGAAAGTGGCCTTGAGTGTATCGGCACAGAAGACCACTTCCTGAATATAATACCCATAGCACAGACACCAAGATTGACAATTAATAATTGGGACCTCCAGAAACTGAAAGACTTCTGTAAGGCTAAGGATAATGTAATAGGACAAAAGAGGAGCCTACAGAATAGGAAAAGATCTTCACCAACCCCACATCTGACAGAGGGCTGATCTGATATATATATATATATATATATATATATATATATATACACACACACACACACACACACACACACACACACACTCAAGACACTAGACACCAACAAACAAAATAATCCATTAAAAATGGGGTACAGATCTAAATAGAGAATTCTCAAAAGATGAATCTCAAATGAGTATCACCTAAAAATTGTTTATCACCCTTAGCTATCAGGGAAATGCAAATCAAGATGATTTTGGGATTCCTTCTTATACCTGTCATAAAGATCAAAAAGCAGATGATGAGTTATGATGGGGAGGATGTGGGGAAAAGGGAACACAC